ATAGATGAGTAAAAACCAAAGAAGAATAAATATTGTTCAGGTAGTTGAAAACTTGCAGATCAAGAGTGGAGGTACTTGTTAGTATGCAAGTAAATCAAGAGAGAGATCAAAGTATTGGTGTTTCTTATGGGTATGTGGCCCAGACACTTAGCTCTTTGCCATGCTTAGCACACCAACACAGTGATTTTGTAGGTCTGAGTGATGGTTGATCTATGCTCTAATTGTTTATCTGATGGCCTGTTAATCTGGTGCTCTGAATACAAGGTTTCAGGGATCTTGGTCCCTTCCCTCAAGGTTTGAATGCCTCCTGAGCCATGTCAGTGGAGGAGGAAGAATACCCTTCTACACTGTAATTATATACTGTAATAATTATATACCAAAATAGATCCTAAGGGACTGAGAAGAAACAGAACCAGTCTGTAACTTGATGCAATTCCCTTTTTCTTCCCCCCTCCCCCCCTCCAACCTCTGTTTTTTTTCCCCTGGTAAGAGCTGCAAATGGAATGACAAATCAGTCCTTGAGCAGAAGAGGCTTTGCAAGGTGACCTTGGGCACTTCTACTCCCAAATAACTTAATTATTTTCTGTCAGAGTTCCTCTGTCTGAATCAGCTTAGAGGTCCTGTGCCCCTCTTGCCTGTGTGGGGATGAGTTGGATGCAATGTTGCCATGGCCCTGCACTGACCCAATACCATTTCCCATGCATCTTGCACCAGCTGCTAGTTTTCAAGCTAGTATCTGTGACTCCACTCACAGTATTTTGTGCCTGCAGCCCTTGCTTCTCAAAAGCAATTCAGATACATTCATTTTCTTTCATGGGAAATTCTAGTGTAGCACCCTCATGTTTTTGGAGCCCTGCTGGCACTTTCAATAGAAAGGATAAGGTCGGGGAGGGAATTTACTCCTTTCTTCAGCAGGTACAAAGAATAAGCAAAGCATTCCACGTTCAGAGTCCAAGGAAATAATCAAAAGTAAAGAGAGTATCTCCATGCATCAACTTTATCCTGCTTGGAACACTCCTCTGGGGTTTTGTGTGGACTTTGCTATGCAGTCAGTGTTCCAGTCCTTCCTATAAACTCACTGCCTGGGAGAGTTTTCATCCCTTCTGTAAGGTTCAGATGAAATTGGCCAATAAATTTGGGTGTTACTGGGGCAGCAGGAGTTGTAACTGAGAGTGATGGTGCTGTCGTAAGTCGTCTCTCCCCTAGGAAATCAAAAAGATCCCCTGCACGCTTGTTGCTGCCCTGGTTACTTTGTGGATTCTTTACAGCTCTGTTTATGAACCTTACCTCAGGCCGTAGTGCTGAGTTACTGCTGTTGCTGCCTGACTGATTTGTTTTCCAGAGGATGACGAGGAGGAGAAAGGATGGAGAGAAACTGAAGGTTTCTGTTGTGGGCAGAATTGAGAAGCTGCCAGTGTTTTTGGGGGAACCGTGATTTTCTTGCAGAAATCCTATTGCAGAAAGTTAATTACTTATTGATCTTGCTGTTGATGGAAAGAAAGCCTAATGAATGGTCTTTTACCAGCACGTCCTTCACTCCTAATGGATTCTCCACTAGAGTCCCAATGACTGACTTGCAGGGGCTCAGCCCTGAGCAGTCCCCATCACCTCCATTCTAACCATGCTGCATCCATCCCTCCAGGACTCATTAGGGGTAACAGCAGCACTGTTATGATTGCAAACATCAGGACAGCACCTCCTTTGAAGAACCTCGAATGCCCCTGAGCTGTGTTTATCAAGCAAAACCCATCAAGACAAGGAAATGAGGAAACAAGTCGCAAGGGAAGAGTGGTTAGTGTTTAAAAGCAGTGTGGAAATGTAGGATGTAGTGGATGGAAGGAGAGGAAACTTGAGGAGTGGAGATATAGAATGGAGACTGTGTGATACAAAGTGGTAAAAAAAAGAGCAAATGAAAAAGAGTTGAAAGCAGTGTGAGGTTGGTGGGTGAAAAGAATATGAGGGACAAGACAAGAGGGTGGATTAGTGGAAAGGCAGAGGATGAGGTGTCTGGTATGGACTGGGGTGTAGAACGTCAGGAATGATAGATGGAAGGCAGTGATTTGGAGGGCAGTGTATGGGAATCCCTATGTAGAGAAGAGAATTAGGGTTGTGCAGGAAGGAGAAATAAAAGGAGAAGATGAGGTGAAGGAAGATGAGCAATCATCTATGATAGCATTTTCACTCTGTGGATCCCTCAGTGTTTTCCCTGTGGACACAGGGTCCCTGGCCACTCTGTGTTGCCTTCTGGGAATTGCCCAGAATTTGGTCAGGACAACACAACCTTTTTTCCATCTTCCCCAACATTAAAATGTGATCATTGTCACAGACGTGCCCCTGAAGAGAGCTTTGATATTGAGGAGTGGCGTTGGCTGTGTGAAATCCTGACTCTCAGAGCAGTGACAGAGTCCATAGCTTGGGTCATCATAGGCTCTGATGCTGTGTTTGGACACAGAGCTCTGCTCTATGGCTCATTACACTTCATTAAGGAGAGAGGCAAGGCGAAACTTTTAAAACACTGATTGTTCTGCCCTGAGGATTGTTTCTTTTGTCAGTGAATCTGGCAAGGAATGAAACAGAAATAGTCAACAATGTAGTCAGTAGTCAACAATAGTTCTCTAACAGATGAGGTGTGAGGCCCCTGCTACCACTACCTACAAGAGGAGCATGCCTTAGTCTGCATTTTAGCTTCTGTGTTGCTGAAAAGCAGTGGGGAATGGGAACTTACATTTTCTATATGACTTTTTCTACCCTACTTCTGTTCAGTGTGCGTTAGGTATTAGTTTCACTTTAAGACAAGCTGTTAACAGAGGGCAAGAAGAAAACCTCATTTTCCCAGCAGTGCTCTCCTACAAGATGAAACCCACACTGCCTTTTTCCCAGGGCAAATGTGTGGACGGCAGCCATATCCAGCAGGTTCCCTGACCATTAGATCCAAATGGAAAAGGCCCAGAAATACCTTTGCCTTTCTTCTCTGCCATTCCTGTGGAGCTGAGAGGTGTGATGCACTCCTGGAACGCTCTTTGGGTGAGCAGATGTTTGGCTGTGGGAGCAGCCAGAGACTGCTGCAAGCTCTTTTCCAGGTGGCAAGCATTTCAGGTCTGACTGCAGCCAGGAGAAGCAGCGTGGTGATACGTGAAGACCCTGATAAGAGCTAGTCTGGATGTTAATAGCGGGAATGAGGTTATTCTCTTTGGAACGTACAGCTCCAGCCAGCAGACTTCTCAATTGTTCTTTTTCCAGCTTTTAAATGTGTTTCAAATAAAGTCGTTCTGGTCATTCCATTGAACAATGACTTCATGCCAGAGCACAGAGACCTGACTGCTCTCCTGGGTCTGCCAAGAAGCATTTAAAGCTGACATTCTCAGGTAGGTTCACACCTCACGTGGATCAAAACCATTCTTACAGGACTTGCAAAAAATCCTATGTGCTCTGTCTGACTTGCTGTGACACTGGGATCATCTCCATCCCTCTGTGCCTCCTGCTTTGCAACCCAGCAGGAAGATGAGGGGTAGTTCACTCCAGGAACAAGAAAGCTTAAATTATGTTTATTTGTAAAATGCCTCAAACTCCTGTAGTGGGATGCAATACAAGCATGTGAACGGGTGCAAGAATGCAACCGATTTTATTTACTAAGTAGGAGGAGATGCAACTGTGAAGCAGAGAGGTCAGGAAAACTTGTTTCTTGTGTGGACTCTCACATAAATCAAGATACAAGAAAAGACAGATTAAATAAGCACAGCATGTCTGTAAAACAAACCTGGGCTACCAAGGCTTAAGCCAACCTCTATTTACAAAACCTCACGTGACCTGCGAGCACTGAAGGAGCAAAAGCGAGGGAAAAGTGGAGTTTTCCGAGTGCATACATCTCCGATGCATACCTTTGGGCTGAATCACCATGAAAAGTTGCAGTGTTCAGAGCTATTTAAAGCAAGGGCTGGAGTCTGATGCACTGCTTTGAGGCTGCATCTCTGCAGGGAGGCCGTCACGAGTCGGACCATTGGCCGCAGCTGCTGTGAAGGGCGCGGGGCCGTGCGATGCGCCCGTTTCCCTGCCTGTAAAACCTGCGTTTTAAGCTGATGTTAAGAAATACGAAACGTGGGGGCTGAGAGCTCAGAAGCAGAACGTGGAAGTACTGTTTGCAGCTTTGAGAGCCGCTGGAACGGAGGCTGCAGCCCACAGCCACCTCCCGCTCCTCTCCTGAGGACTTTTCTCGATCTCTAAGAGTAGGAGATGGAATTTAAACCATCCTGTGCTTTTCGAGCAGCAGCCTTTGGCTGTGCTGTGCCACCGCTTACATCCTGCTCCCGTCTACTGGGACAGACCCCCAAAGGCCGCGCCGTTTCCCCCTTCAACCAGCAGGAAAATGGCCGGCTCCGCGACGCCCGAGCCCCGCTCCCGTAGGGGCTGAGGGCCGGCCGCGGCTTCCAACGGCAGAAGCGACCTCCGGGGGCATCGCGCCCCGGGCCGGGCCTCCCGCCGACGGGCGGAGCAGCGCCTGCGCCACGGCCCCGCCGAGCTGCCCGTGCCGGCGTCTCGCGAGAGGCGGCAGCAGCGGGGGGCGGCGGGACGGGACAGGGGGAAGGGGGGGGAAGCGCCGCCGCCGGCCCCGCTGCCCGCGCGGGAGGTGAACGCGGGGCCGCCCACGGCGGGGCGGGGCGGGGCGGGGCCGGCGGCCGCGGGTAGCGGTGGAGCGGGTAGCGGCCGAGCGGCCCTTCGCTGAGGACGGTCGGCGGGAGCGGCCGCCGCTTCGTTCCGTTGCCGCGCAGCCGGGCCGGGGGCTGAGGAAAGCGGCGGTCCCGAGGGCGGCCGGGACCTCCCGGTGGCAGCAGGTAATGGCAGCGCCGCCGTGCCCGCATCCGCCCTGCGCCCTCGGGGCTGCTCCAGGGCTTCAGCGCCGTCCCGTGCCGTCCGTCCCGGCGGGGCGGTGGGTGAGCGAGCGCGGCGGTGCGCGGACGCTGGCTTTCCCCTTCGACTGTGGGCGGTGGGCCTTTAACCGGCCCCTCGGGTGGGGTCTGCGGAGCTGTGTGTGCGCTTTGCTTTCCGTGCTGCTCTGCGGCTCAAAGCCGGGAGCGGTGAGCAGGCAGAGAGCTTTCCGTCCCAGCGAGGTGCGTGGCTTTTAGTAGCCGAGCAGTCGCTGCGGAGCGGGGACAGCCTGCACCGCGATGGCCGGCTTGAAAACTTGAAAGACGGAACTTCAGACGGAGCTCGAGCTGCGAGACCGCTCTTAAATAAAGCATTTCCGAGGCGAACGCGGCCGGTGGGGCGCTGATTTGGAGCCTTTTGGAGCCGATGGTGACTTGCACCAAAGGCTCCAGGTTTGTGTTGGCTGCGGGCACCGGGACACGCTGCGATCTTCTGTGCTCATACCGCCGGGAGGGATGGAGGTCAGGAGGGAGCAGAGCACGCTGCCTTGGCTGGTTCCTCCTGGGAGCATTGAGAATAGGCTTATCGAGGCGACTTCCTAGGGTCGTCTAGGATGGGTGTTAAGAGAGAGGAGCCTAGCACTGCCATGGCTGTACAAACCCGCGTTTGTGGTGGCATAGCTGTGTCCATCAAGATGTTCTGTTATTTTTCTCATTTACGCCCTGCGTTTATGTGATTCAGTAAATGCTGGACGTTGTTACCGAGGTTAAAACTTCCCTGCTCTACGCTGGGTTTTGATAGAGCTTAGGAGAAACAGTGTGTTGAGTGACGGACAAAAGTGAAGTTTGTTCTGGTTATTGGTGCGCTGTCTGTGGATGAGGGGAGTTTGTTCCCCTACACTTGCGGAGGTTCGTTTGGTTTGACTGCCCTGCAGCCTGCTAATTCCCTCAGCCTCACCTGCAGCAGGTGTGCTCCTCTGCACGTGGGTGAAGAAAGCTGCATGGGTTGCGTGGTGACTGCTGGTGAATCGAATTGCCACAAGGACAAGCGTTGGTTTGAATTTATTTTCTGTGCATTTAAAAAAGTTCTTATTCCACTGCTTTCCACCTTGAGAAGTGAAGGCTGAGCAAGGTTGTGTGATGTCCTGCAGCTCCCCGTGTGTGGGCAAACAGGCTGTGAGCCAATTCTCGGTGCCTGGGCTGTGCATCCCAGAGGGAGCTGGGAGCAAACCTGGGAGGATGCAAAGTGAGGAGAAATGCGAAACTGAAACCGTTGGAGGCACAGTGCTGTTAACAGAGGAGTTGTGTCCATCGTCTCCAGCATGGATCTGTATGTGAGTTCTTATTGTCTGTAGACCTTCTTGCTCCAGCAAAGGAGCAAGCAGAGCTGGAGTTACTTTCTGCAGTGAGAGAACATTGCTGCACAGATGTGTTGTAGAGAGGACAGGAAGAAAGAGGCGGGAGTTGCTTAAGCTGATGTTTGCCCTCAGAACAAACGGTTACAAACTGGCTGTGAAGTGCAAGTAGGGTTTCCAAATCCCCAAGGAGCCAGATCTGCAATGGCTTTTGCAATAAGAGCTGGGGGAGGCCTCCCCTTCGTTTCTGGTTTAAGTGGATTTTGAACCATCTGGAGAGATGGTTATCTGACGTGGTACCTTGTGAAGGAGGGGATGGCAGCGGTGACTTTGCACCTCGGTGTCTGTCATGACTGAGCCTGGGAGAAAAGCCATCGGTTTGCCCCCAGGCAAAGTTCAGGTTGGAGATAATCCCGTGACGGCTGTTCAGGAGGCTGTGTAGGATGATTATAGCACTTGGTCCGTTTCCCAGTTTGCAGGCATCGTGTCACAGAAGCAGCTTTGTATGGATCCTGGTGCACATTCTTGTTGGCTGGTGACTTTGGGTTAAACTTGAATGTAAATTCTTGGCTTCTCCTGGAGGTTTTCCTCTTGATTCTGGCAAGGGGAGAATGAAGGCACATTCCCTCTGATGTGCTTGGAGACCTCTAATTTGTGCTTTCAGCCTGGCATCCTTTATGAAGTGCTCAGAAAGAGGATGTATCATAGTCAATAGAGTAACTCTGTGTTCTGCAGCAGCTTTCTCAGGAGAAGAAATTAAGTTGCACTACTGTTCTTTTCCAGGGTTCCTCTCAGTTGCTGACAGAGTCAATGGGAGCAGAGTCATTTCAATTCTGTGCTATTCTCTGCTGTGTGACTTGGGAAAGCCAAATGCTGAGGCTGTGCGCTGTGTCCTGGAAAGCAGGCACGAACCCTTGGGCTTCTGGAGGGAGCGATGTGATCGGGGTGGCTCTAATGAGGAGCATCCTTCCGTTTACCCAGAGGAATGCGTGTGCTGGCTGTGCCACACACAGTGCTGGGCTCCTTCTATTGGTGCTGAGAGTATAATCTGTCTGCGCTGGGTGGGACAGCTCTGTAGAAATGCTGGCAGCAGCCTGGAGCTGTGGGAGCTGCTGGGCATGGGGAGATGGCAAGAAAGGATGGATGCTCTTTGCAGCTTTCCAGACTTATTGCATTCCAGTCACCCTGAAACCCAGCGTGCTAGGGATTGTGTACGCAGCAGGCGCCGTATTCATCCAGAATAGGAAGCATTCCCTGCCCTGAACAGCTAACTGTCTCAAAAGCAAGAACAGATTGAGGCAAAATGCACAACCAGAGATGTGCCAAGCAGTAGGCTTGGCAGCATCACTCCATTATCTTCTGTTGTTGGGCTGAGATGTTGGCCTGGAGTGCTGACGCACATATGTAATTTTCCCCTTCCTTAACTCCGTGCTCATCTCTGGGTGCTTCTTCCTAGATTTGATCCATCCTTATCCTAAATGAGCTAAACCTAGAGAATTGCTGCTGAGTGGTGCTTTGCTCTGCAGAGTGCTGTGCGTTGTGTCTGCCTGGTTCTTCCAGCTCCTTTTGAGATGTAGGATAAGAGCCTGACTCCAAGGAGCACAGCCGTTGGTGCTGCACTGTGATGCCACGTGGTAGGCTACAGCTGTGCTGAGTTTCTGGCTCTCCCTACCTCCAAAATGCAAATAAATACATTGGTGGAAAAATCCCAAACCCACAGTTCTGCATTTTACGTCTTTTGGGACAAACTGGGCTAATACTTTGATGTTGTTCCTGTTCATTAGTAAATTCTGGTCTAATGCTTTTGGTCTAGTGCTTGAAATCAGGACTTTGCTTGTTAAAATCTGCTGTGTCTGAGGCATGAACACAGCCATGGAGGTGGCTCTTTAGACAAGTGACTCAATTTAAGGCTTCTGTAGCTTTCACAGATGCTGAGCGTGTTGCCCATAGAGAGCAAAGGGGTTCAGTACTTCTGCATATCTGGACTCTGGGGTTCTTTGCATCCATATACAGCATAGGGTTGGTGCTGTCCAAGAACTGAACTGGCTAGGGAATAATCTTTCCAAGACTGTGGGGTGCCCACTTTTGTGCTTGGCTTTTGATTCTAACCCTCACAGAAAGTCTGTGTGAAACAGCAGGCTTTGAATTCTCTCCCAAAATGTCATAGAGCTGCTCCTGGCTTTCCTGCATTATTCCTCCACTGCTGTCAGTCTTTGCTCCTCAATTCTGGGGTGTTCAGGACTGTTGGGACTGTCGAACCTCGCACCTGCTGGTGAGGAGTGAACATCTTTGTGTTCATCCAACAGCCACGAGAAGGAATCTCTGCACCCTCCAGGAAGGATCATGTAACAGTGATTTCTCACCTGCCTTTGGAGACTGGGAGCTGTTAGGGGTGATGCTGACAGAAACGTTACGTTAAGCTGGGAAAGTGGCTGACTTGCACACAGCCCAGAAGTGGACAGAGATCTACCAGAGCATCCTTAATCTCAGAAACAATTTGGCTAGAAGTAATCATTCTTCCAGGTTTTTATTGATGCTTAGCTGTTGTCAGGGTTGTGTCCCTGTGGGTTTTCACAGGAAAGCTGTTGGTGTAATTGCTGCCCTTGACAAAATGAAGTAGTTACCAAGAAAGGTGGTGGAGGTGACATCCTCTGGGTGCCTTCGCACAGATTAGATGAAACAGTGTGTTTGGTTGGTGATGTTCTGTCAACACAAGCTTTCTTTAGCCACTGAGGCAATGTGCCTACGTGTTCAGAAGTCTGATAAGGCTTTTGTTTTTAGTACAGTGGCTCAGAGTGTCTTTATGGGCGAGATGGGACTGCAATGTGATCCCAAAAGCTGAAGTCATGGATCGAGCCCTCTGCTTGGTGTGTTAGATATGCTTAAAAATCAAGGAGGTCTGCAAGGCAGTTGGTACTTTCTGTGTATGGTTTTAGATTTTTAATACTCCGACACTTCCCTCTGATAACTTGAGGCCTGAAATGTTAATATTTTTGTTTATTTGTTTTTAAATGGAAACAGAACTCCTGATGAAATCGTGCGATTCAGGAAGCTGGAGAGTGATGAACAAACCTTTGTTGCTATGGAAATGAGTAAACTTGTAACATGTTACGTCTCCTTTTGGACAGAAAATCAGAGCTTTCAAGTGAATTCCAGGCTAGCCTCTAGTAGCCCGAATGTCCACTCCTGACAGTGTCCCCTGGTTCATAGGATGAGTGCAGCTTTTCCTCCTCGAGGAAGGAGCTGGAGCAGAAGCTGAAGGCTGTGGTCTGTCCCTGGGATACTTTGAGATCTCATGGCCCCTTCTGCTCAGTTGCAGAACCAGATGCTCTTAAAACTGCCAAGGGAGGGCCAACAGGAGGGAAGGTTGGGCTTTGTCTACAAGAGAATTGGTGCCTCTCTGTGTAGCCACTGTAGGTACCTGGGGAGCACACAGCTCTTCCTGTGCAATACTGTGAGATGGTCAGCCCTGTGCAGAGCCTTGATCGTGCAAGGTCATCGTCTCTAAACCAGAGTTTAAACAAGAAATTGACTGACTTTATTTCTGGTTCCTTTCCAGGCTCATGGTCTGCAGCACCATGCAAGATCCCAGCCCTCGCTCTGCGAGCCAGAGGTGAATCCATGGGAAGGCCAGCTATTGTGGTAGCTGTCAGGATGACCAAAGCACGGCTCCTCCGTCTCTCTGTGGTGCTGGTCTCCATCTTCATGATCCTCCTGATCATCGTCTACTGGGACAACGTGGGAACAGCTCACTTCTACCTGCACACATCCTTTTCCAGGCCTCATTCCCCAGAGTCCATCCCCGGTATCACTGCAGGTGGGGACTGGGAAGCCTTGCCAGAGGTGGATGAGTTTTTAGCAAAGCTGCTTAGTTCAAGCCTGAAACAGAACAGCTCTACTTCCCGAAAGACAGAGCAGCTGCTCGTCCAGGGCTCCAACAAGCCTGTGGTGAGCAATTTGGAGGAGAACATACGGGGCTATGACTGGTCGACGCACAATGCCAGAAACAGCTTGGACCAAGAGAAGCTGCAGATAGAGAGGCAGAGAACGCTGCGGGAGTTTTGTGCCAATTCCAGCTTTGCCTTCCCCACCAAGGAGCGCTCCTTTGATGACATCCCAAACTATGAGCTCAACCATCTGATTGTGGATGACCGCCACGGCATCATCTACTGCTACGTCCCCAAGGTTGCCTGCACCAACTGGAAACGGGTGATGATTGTGCTGAGTGAGAGCCTGCTGGACCAAGGAGTCCCATACCGGAACCCCCTGGACATCCCACGGGAGCACGTCCACAATACCAGCACCCACTTGACTTTCAACAAATTCTGGCGTCGATACGGGAAATTCTCCCGGCATCTCATGAAGATCAAACTGAAGAAATACACAAAGTTCCTCTTCGTGAGGGACCCTTTTGTCCGCCTCATCTCTGCCTTTCGCAGCAAATTTGAGCTGGAGAACGAGGAGTTCTACCGGCGTTTTGCCATCCCCATGCTAAAGCTGTACTCCAACCATACCAACCTTCCCACCTCTGTTAGTGAGGCCTTCGGGGCCGGCCTCAAAGTCTCCTTTTCTGACTTCATCCAGTACTTACTGGATCCCAGGACAGAGAAGATGGCCCCTTTCAACGAGCACTGGCGGCAGGTGTACCGGCTGTGCCACCCGTGCCAGATAGACTATGATTTCATCGGGAAGCTGGAGACGCTGGATGAGGACGCTGCTTATCTCTTGCAGCTTCTCAAGGTGGACAGGCTGCTCCGCTTCCCCCCCAGCTACCGGAACAGGACTGCCAGCAGCTGGGAGGATGACTGGTTTGCTAAAATCCCCCTGGCTTGGAGGCAGCAGCTCTACAAGCTGTATGAGGCAGACTTTGTGCTCTTTGGCTACCCCAAGCCAGAAAACTTGCTTAAAGACTAAAAGTGATTGGGCTGCGGGTGGGGGAGGGAACATCTGAAATACCAAAAATGTTTAAAGCCTCCTCATTATTTTTTTTTTGCTTTTACCTCCCTTTTCCATAAAGGTTGGTACAATGGAATATATTTTTTCTACCGTTTCCCCTTCCGTTTTTGCAGTAATGCCAAGTTCAGGATATTTCCATCCAGCTGTGCATATGGAAAAAATGCCAGTATTTTTATCATTGTTTTCTGGGTTTCCTTTTTTTTTAATGTCTCCATGTTTTGCAGTGGGTCGCTGCCCATGGTCACTCTGCCAGCTGTGTCCTTCAGTAGCTTTTTATTAATACATTTTTTAAAATTAATATATTTAAGATATTTAATACGAAGTTTGTGTTGTGGCAAAGGAAAGGAAGGAATAAAAAAAAAAAAAAAAAGAAGTGAAAGAAAAACCTAAAAAGTGCTGATGCGTTTGCCTCTGTGTGTCGTCTCAAGGCTGTTGGTGATGTTGCAGGGCACTTGAATCTCTTCAGGGCTGGGAGCCCAGCAGATGGGTCACTCAGTGCCCGAGCACCCGTGCTGCGGTGAGGCATGCAGCTCACAGCCAGGATCACAGGAGGGAAGTGGTTGAGGCCCACGGGGTGATTCAGGATGTGCAGATGGCCAGCCCAGAGCCTCTGCTCTGCTTCCACTTCCAGCAGCGTGATGGAGGAGCTGTGCTGTACAGAACACTGCATTTGCTCAGCCTCTGCATTGCTAGCATGGAGAATCTTCTGTGATGTGATGTCTGCTGTGCTCAGCACAGGTAACTTGCAGCAATGGGGATATAGCACAACTCCCAGTGCTTTAGGGGAATGTGGCAGGGTGTGGATATTTACCCCTGGGTGAAGAAAAGCTGAAAGATTTCTTTTAGTTTGTGTGCATTGAGGTGATCTCTGAATTCATTTGTTTTCAGTTTGCCAGCTACTGCTTGTGATGCTGTGCCCTCATCTGCTGCATTCATGCTTGTAGCAACTGACCGAAGCAGATTTAGTCACCTGCCTTGCTGGGCCCTGCTGCAGCAGTGATGGTGGCCCACTGTGCTCAGCGCCTGCGGGCTGCTTCCCAAAGGATGCAGCTTTTGGAGACAGGCTTTGTGTCTCATCAGCTGAATCTGCATCTCTCTGAATTGCTCTGTGATCAGGCAGAGAGCTGAAATGCTTAATTACTTTCCTGAGCTGTGAAAACGATGGAGGTCCAAGCCTCAGGAAGCAGCTTTGTGTTCTGGGCAGCTGCCTTGGGGCTGGCTTCCTTGTTCTGCTCAGAGACCAGCAGGAGGTGTGACGTTCCCCCTCCGTCTCCTCGCTTTTCCGACCTCTGTACACGTGTGTTGTCTCAGCATTGTGTGCTCCTCCTGGTGAATGTGCTGCACCAAGCTTTTTAATCTTTAAGTGAAAGGTAATAGCTAGTAGTTATGCTAGGAGCAAAGAATTGTATTCACAGCACCCTCCTGTAATTTCTGCAGAGATATTTGCAGTTTAAATGAGCCTGAAGCCATGATCTGATTTTTAGTGCTTAGATCTTCACAGCTTGGGGAAAAAGGAAGTGCTTGTTTATGAGTCATTATTTAAAACTAATAATAGAAAAGTGTTGATCTCTTCAATTTATTTTTTCAATTACAAGCTAATTGCTGCAAAACAGAAAGATGTTGAGACTCTCATCTGCTGTAATGAGTAATCCTGGGAGGCTGTCGGTTCCTGCAATATTTACATTTCTTCAGGGTGGCTTCATCCTGCTCTTCAAAGTTACAGCGTGGATGTTTGCGGCTGTTGTCTTTACAACGTGTTTGTTTTTTTGTGTTGTTTTTTTTCCTCTTCTAATTTCCATTTAATTGATGTTTAGTATTTGCAGACGTGGGCAGCTGGGGATGCGGCGCAGATGTGCTGATGAGCACCGCATTGCCCGAGCTGTGCAAACTTCCTCCCAGCTGCTTCCCCTGCACCTCTTGACCAAATCCTGCCCCTCCGAGCTGTGCTCAGTTGCAGGGCCTCTTGTGATGCTCATCCTGCAAACCGGCTGCAGCTGCATCCTCACCTACACCACATCATGAGCCACGGCTGCAGCTTGTCCCAGGCAGAGCATTTTTCATGGCTTCACCCTCAGGAGAGCTCAAGTGGTAAAAGGGTGATGGTGGGAGAGGGCTGTCACCCTGTCAAGCCCAGCCTGCGTTTGCTTTAAGCCATTTCAATGTCTGCAAGCCCATACCCAGCCAAAGCCATTCTCCTAAGTGCCTGCAGAGAAGAGCAGTGAGGCTCACATGGAGAGGGCTTGCTCTGCTGCTGCTTCCCCATAGCCTGCTCCTTGCTGCTGCTTCCTTTTGAAGCCTTCCTCCCCACCCTCCCACTGCTGTGAATGTATTGTGAAGGAGTCAAAGGCAACCCAGGCTGCTCTGAGCTTTGTGGTGAGGCCACTGGGGGGACTGGGACAGAGCCTCCAGCATTAGGAATGTGCATTTATTTTTTTTTTTTCTGTGGGTTTCTTGCACTGTTCTGATGATGTAAAAGAGTACGTAGGGGGGAGAGAAGGACAAAGGGTTTAAACCAGCCATGCTTCTTTTCCCCAGTTTTCTGAAGGAGCTGGAATTAAGTATTTGTCAATGGCAGAATGACCGGTGAGGGCAGGCAGTGTGCATGCTGGCCTGAAGTCAGAAGAGAGCTAAAAATTGTGAGTTTAAATGGTTGTGATGCTAGTGCTGATTTTATGAGAGGTAGAAAAATGCTTTGAAGTGGCCTATTTGTGTCTAAATAAACCTGGCTCTGTTGTTTCATGCTCAGCCTGCAAAATTACGTCCTGTTCTCCCTCTGGCTTGCTTCTGACCACTTGGCCAAAACCAGCCTGGTGCCCAATGAGGCAGAACCAATGTGTGGATGCAAAAATATCCAGGGGTTTGACTGAGATGTTTCCAGGTGGAACTGAAACCAGCTTTAGTGCTTGCTCAGCATTGCAGTCAAGGTCTTTTTTGCAGCCATGTGACAGATGGGGTCCCTCACTCACTGCTATGGCACAAGGTATGCAACCCAGCCCCACAGCCCCTGTGTGCTCCAGGGAAGGGCTGTCAGGCTTCAGAGCTCTTTGCTTTCTGAGCAGTGGCACGGCTTTGCCAGGGTACGGGGTGTCCTTAACCACGTGGTTTCCTTCAAATCTCAATCATTTTCCCTTTAACCCTTCCACTCATTTCTGGCGGACAAAACTGTAGAGCCACCAAGTGTGGAGAAATCATCATGGAGTAAAAAGTTGCCCTCGGATCACGCTTGAAGGCTTTTGGCTGTGTGCTTTGAATCCCTCAAGGTGGCACCGGGCGGGTGGAGGGCAGGGGATGAATGGCAGCATTGAAGGGGTGACGAAGAAAAGCCAGCTTGTTCCTCCTTATGTAAGCTGGAGCACGGGGAAGGCCGGTGACTTGGCAGGGCTGCGTGTGGCTGTGGTGCTGAGCAGTGCCAGGAAGGGTGCGGGGTGTGATGACAGGACAGGCAAACGAGGTGGCTCCGACGTAAAGGCTTGCCCACAGTTGGAAACCTCACTGGGGGTAGGGGAAAAAGGAAAGATGGGATTTAATGAGGACAGTGATGCCTGTCTGGGGAAGAAATGGAAGTGAGCAGTGCGTGGTCTGAAGCAGAACTAAGGTAGTTCTGTTTGCTTTAATCAAGGATACAGCTTGGGCTGTGGAGATTGACACTTTGTCCCTGTATGGGCTGGCTGGCATTTGGCTGCAGAAGAGCTGAGCAGCAATGTTGGGCAGTGGATCCAGCTCTGCCTGCAGTTGGGCTGTGGCAGCTTTGCAGAGGCCGAGCTGGAACCTGTTTGCTGCTCCTGGGCTTTGCTGCTCCTGGGCTTTGCTGCTCCTGGGCTTTGCTGCTCCTGGGCTTTGCTGCTCCTGGGCTTTGCTGCTCCTGGGCTTTGCTGCTGCTGGGCTTTGCTGCTGCTGGGCTTTGCTGCTGCTGGGCTTTGCTGCTGCTGGGCTTTGCTGCTGCTGGGCTTTGCTGCTGCTGGGCTTTGCTGCTGCTGGGCTTTGCTGCTGCTGGGCTTTGCTGCTGCTGGGTGGGCTGCTGCCCCCTGCCTGGCTCCCACAAAAGCAGGGCCCCTCTGGCTGCTGCATCCCCATGTGTGCTGCACTGCCTCCCTGCTGTGCTGGTATCACTGCCCACTGTCTTCCCACCTCTGCTGTGGCTTGGCTTTTGTGCAGAAATGGCTTAAAATAAAGTAAAAATAAAAAAGAAGGAAGTGGAGGAACTGTGGAAGCTCAGCTTGGTTCCTGTTGAGAGCAGCATGACCTTGGGGAGGGGGAGAGGAAGTTTCCAGTCACATTTCTGTTGGCTTTTTGATGAGCCTTTCCCTGGGCTTGAAAAATTAATTGCTGCTACAAAATACCAGAGGCTCTTAGAGTCATGTGCAAGGAGATCATTTACAGCTTAACCTGTAGGTGCACGTGGAGCAATGCCAATAGAACAGCATGGTGATGCTAGTAGCTGTCCTGGGGGCAGCTGCCATGTGCTTGGCTGTGCTGCTCTTTGCTCTCTGCTTTACACCTTAAGGCTGCTGCTTATTGCTTCAACTTTCTGTCTGTGAGATCTGGGGGTGATGGTGATCCCAAGGAATGTGGGGCAGCAGGAATTTTCCTTGATGTGACTACATGACTCCCACCATGGTCTACGTTTTCTTCACACCACGGTGTCGAGGTGAGGCCATGTTTTCCATGTGCAGCTTTAAACTGGGCAAAACTCAGCTGGGGGATGGCTCAGAGGTCACGGCTCTGTCGCTGGTTGGCCTGAAGGCGCAGTGGGTTCCTCAGGTCTGTCTGCTATGTGTGGTGTCCTTGGGTGTCCCCAGGGCTGGGCAGAGCGGAGGGGCTCAGCTGGCTGCGATGTCCCTGAGCACTGAAGCACTGCTTTTCCCTTAGTGAAGGGTTTCACAGTTATGTCCTCAGGTTCTTATCCTCAGTCTGCGCTGAATTTGAGTGCCAGACTGATGCCAGTGTACACCCAGCCCCATCTGACCCACGTGTTAACCAAGTGAGATGTCCTGGCCCACTGTGCAGTGCCTTCGCTGTGTTTGGTGCCTGGGGTGGATGGATGGCACCCGGCCCTGACAGCACTGCATTTTGAAGCAGG